GTTGCCAAAAATAAAAGAGCAAGCTAATGAAGTTTGTTTATCTCATTTAGGGACCAACTGGTGAGACTGGCCCAATAGGTGAACGTGGACATCCTGGCCCTCCTGGCCCTCCCGGCGAGCAAGGTCTTCCTGGTGCTGCAGGAAAAGAAGGGGCAAAGGTACAGTATCTCAAGGACTTTTCTTGGCTGGAAACATCCATTTATTTTTCACTGTAGCTTCTCATTACTTGTCCATAGATTCTCTAAATGTTGGCATAGTATTTAAATGAATGTTAGATATGTCAGTGAAATACTCAGTTTATTGTACTTCAAGGCATGACTGAACAATGATATAGGAACAGTTAGCTCCACTGACCATAAAACCATCCATTTATACACAATCTTAAATTTAGATAGTAGTTAGTTCATTTTAGTGTATAGGACATTGCTCTCAGCATTATGCTCTCATCGTTAAATCATATTCAGGCTTTCCTCGCAGTAGGTTAGAGGTGGTCACAGTTTGGTTTGTGGAAACATGTAGAAATTACTCTCTTTGATGGATATATATTATATTCCTCAGGGTGACCCAGGTCCTCAAGGTGTCTCAGGGAAAGATGGACCAGCAGGGTTACGCGGTTTCCCAGGTGAAAGAGGACTTCCTGGAGCTCAGGTATAATTAGCATGTTAACAAAGCATGTGAATAAAAGTGCTTATTAGAAGCAATATCTTAGGTCTTAACTAAATAAAGATTTATGAGTAATTATGGGGAAATGTGTAAGCATCTGCATTGATTATCATAATACATATAGCAATATACATTTGTGTCTGGAAACAATTCCTGACATCCTCATTTTATCAGTCGTACGTCTCCTTCTATTTATATTCAACTCACATTGATGCGTTTTCTTTGCTTTTCACGTTTCCCAGGGTGCACCTGGACTGAAAGGAGGAGAAGGTCCCCAGGGCCCACCAGGTCCAGTTGTAAGTATGATTATAATAAATAGCCGTGCTATCCATGGTTGCGAATTACAGCTCTTCTTTCATTACTCGCATGCTGTGATCCCACAGTGTGTGGGAGAGAAAATAAACATATGTCAATCAAGTCAGTCAATGCCTGGTTTCTACTAATTGCAGGCTCTAATGAGTGCAGAAACAGAAGAGTTTATATGATTGAAAATATTTACTTCACCACTGCTGTCAGGAGGTAAAAAGGAGCTATCTTATTCTTACAGTACCTGAGGAAATAAATCATAATTTGTCTCATTCTTGGTACTTGATGAGACTTGAATTTTATACTTATTTAAAAAATCCCAGGAGCGTGAAAGGCATATATCCACTTTGTATATTATCCAGATTGCTTTATTTAGTCAAAGTAATGATTGGCAAATGAGTAAATACCAGATTTTTACCTCATCTTTTCTTTTCTTGAGGTGCATATCAATCCCTTAGAAAGCAATAGAATACAGCCTTCATTTTTTCCCCATAAATCTGCGTTCGTTCTTATCTGTTCTCTGTAAAGTTAACAATAACAGCCAAACTGCCAATTTCAGTGGTCTCATCTCTTCCTCCATTTTATTTCACCGAAATAAAAAGTTGGTCATTTTTCCCTTCTGGGATGGCCAGCTCCCAATTCTCAGGAGTGTACTATCTTTCACTACATTTTTTTTTTCACTTCACTAATAAAATCATGTTTATATCAAATCTTAAAAAAATAAAATAAAAAGCTGAATGTTGCCGTAAATAGTTTCTCAATTCCTTACGTATCATGCTGAAGTCATATTAGTTCTACCTCCAGAATATTTCTTTAATTTGTCCCCTTTTCTTCACTTCCACTCCCATCACCTTTGTTCAGACTCTTTCCTTTCTCTCATGTTTACTAGTACCTTAACTTATCCCCTTGGCTT